AAGGACTTGTATGCATGCATATGAGCATAACCAATGGACACAGACAGTAGGGGGGTGAGGGCATATGCTGGGGGATGGGAGCAGCCGGGAAGAGGTCAATGGGGGAAAAAGGAGACATATGTAATACTTTAAACAATAAAGAATTTAAATTTTAAAAGAAAGAATACCAAGATTTATATAGTCAAATAAATAATATATGCTTCTCTGTAAGATATGAAGCCTAACCTCTTATTTTAACAATATCATTGTTTAAAACTTAGAGTCACCTCTTCTTAGAATTAACTTTTTCAATATGGAACATGAGCCTTCAAATACTAGTACATATAAAAATTACAAAAAGAAAAACTGGTTTTGTTACATTATTGCTCCTTCTGTGTGTGTGTGTGTGTGTGTGTTGTTTTTTTAATTCTTACTTGAGGATATTTTTCCATTGAATTTTTTTTTTTTAGAGAGAGTGGGAGGAGGGATAGGGAGAGAGAGAGAAACATCAGTGTCAGAGACACATCCATTGGTTGCTCCCCCTCACCCTGCACTCACCCCACCAAGGCTGGGGATCAAACTGTTACCAATGTACATGCCCTTGATTGGGAATTGAACGTACAACCCTTCATTCCTCGGGCCGATACTCTAACCACTGAGCAAAATCAGCCAGGGCTCCTTCTGTTTTTTTTATTAAAATTAGAGCTGCCCTGATTCATCCAGTTCTAAAGTTCCTACTACTTTTCAAATACACCATCACAGAGTTGAGATTTGCCACCACAGAAAACAGGATGCTTTAAAGAAAGGTAACAGAGAATCAAGATGCAGATTTAATGTTTTGAGTAGAAGATAGAGAATGGCCTCTCAAAAAGATAATGCCCACTTGGATATGTAAGTTCAACTGGGCTTTTTTAAGTATATTACTGAACAGTACTGAACACATATCAATAGTATTAAAAAGAGAAGACATTACCTGTGACCACTCTTCACTCGCCTCCTGCGGGGTTGTTTTTGATCACTTCACTATCAGAGGGACAGAAAAGAATTTCTCCAACACTTGGCACTGCTGGAAACTCCAGGAAGACTTTCAAAATCTATAGAAATAAAATAAAAAATGTTCTACAATCATAAATAAACTATAAAAATCCAATCTAAGTTTTCCTAGTTTTTTCCTCCTCCCATTTTCCACCATTTGTTGTGCACTGAGTGGGCTCTTCTCAGATGGTGTTTACTTTATCATTTAAAAAATAAGCAAAAACTAAATCTTTATTTAGAAATCTGAATGCCAGCCAAAAATGAGAGACTCTCATTGGGTAATAGAAAGTAGAGAGGAGGATTCTTCCATCCTCTAAAAGAAGTTAAGTAATTATATGCTTCTTTTACAAGAGGGAAAAAAAAGTGAAACTAAATAAATCCATATCCATGCATCAGTAGCATCATGTTAGTTAATGACAACAAAATAAAAAATAGCAAAGAGAGGACCATAAATAACTTTCATAAACAATTTTTTCAAAATATGCAATACTCCCAAAATATTCCCAAGAACTGATGCTGTCCATTGTAATAACCTGGTTGTTATTTAACAGAAAAGGAGTGGAAAGGAAGACCAAATAATACAGGCATGCCATTTATTCACTCTGAGTCTTTCCCTGCTGACTGATCCAGCGGTTCTCAACCTGTGGGTCGCGAACAGTGAAAATACATCCTGCATATCAGATATTTACATTACAATTCATAACAGTAGCAAAATTACAGTTATGAAGTAGCAACAAAAATAATTTTATGGTTGGGGGTCACCACAACATGAGGAACTGTATTAAAGGGTCGCGGCATTAGGAAGGTTGAGAACCACTGGTAGACAAAGGCAGTTTAGACGCATGTCCAGTAAGGTCTAAGTGAGATGATGGGAAGGTGCTTTCCCATAAATCACACCTGAAAGCGAGTCAGTGGCCAAGATGGGAGTGGCCACTGCAAGGGCGCAAAATCTAAATATATAAACTTCCAAACAAAGGAAGTCCTCTCTCCTCTCTTGGCTATAGGGAGCCTGGCTCCTGTGACTCCTGCTGCAGGGGCACGCTCCCAGAAACCAGCATGGCTCAGGGCCATGTGTGCCACACACGGACTAATGGACTTTATTTAGCTCGGATACTGAACTACACCGGCTGCAACATGGAATAGAAACTCTGGACACTGTCCCTCCTCTGGCACTGCTGGACTCCAGCTGCCTCCCTTTCAGGACTGGCTTGGGGGAGATGCGACATTGGAAACTGAGGAAGGTAACTCCACTCCAATAAAATCTTCCACATCTCATCCTCCCATGGGGGCTCCTGAAAATGCTTATTTCAGCGGCACAAGAACCTCCACCTCATTCTCATGAGTGACCCGGGAATTTAATTGTGACAGTACCTTTGACTTATCTAGACATTGACAGTTCAAAGGTCAGGTTTTTTGCCATCCCATGGGCAAAGTTTACTTTGGTTCTAGATACACATCTCATATCATCAGGATGACTGGGAAGATACGTTTCACAGCATAAATACATGGCTTGCACAAATACTCCCTAGTGTACAACCAGAAGAACATGATTTTAAAGAAGGTAGGGAAATTATCCTACCTGAGAGAAATACAGAGAACACCTAGAAGATCCAGGACAGCATAACAAAAAGACCAACCCCAAACACTTGGAGATATAAAAGGCAGAAGCTAATGCAAATGCTAAACGAAACCATTATTCAATGTCAAAATTCGCAAAAGCTGGAGAAAATTTCCAAGAAAGATTTAAAAACAAACAATACTACACTTAATAAAGCATGGAAACCATTTATTTGTCCAATAATGGGGGGAAGTAAATTTGATTCAATTATATAATTTACTTAACCACAATTTTGTCAGCCATCAAAAAATTTTGTGTTTATAATAAAATGGGGAAATGCCAATTAGCATATAAAAAAGAAAAAGACAGGTTACAATGTTGTAATTACCCATAATCATAATTACTTACACAAAAGCAAAATACAAGATGCAACTTGTTCTGATGTAGCCATATTACGTAAAATATTTCCCCCTCTTTAGAGGGGTTAAGGTGAGCAATTCAAGTCAGAGTCTAGTACAACAAATAAGTCTTTTCAAAATCTCTGTTTAAGGGTTTCCCAAACCCCAAAGGATGAGCCTTTCGTTACTATAATAATTTTTCTGCAACAGTCCAATGTATTAAAAGATGGCTTCCTAAAAAGTTACTAGAAGAGGTTTTGAATGTGTGTATTTTTTATCTACACTTGCCTTAAAGGCATGGAATGGAATACCTTTTCTTATAACAAATGTTCCACGAAAGGAAAAAACGGGGTAAGGGGTTCCTCAGAGTGACCTAAATCTTCAAAACTAGGCACAGTGGTGGTAGTGACCAGGCATAAGAAGAGTGAGTATGGGGCATGAAATGTAAAGGATAACATGTGTGGTGCCAAATGCGTACTAGAGCTACTGGGGGGTCACTTCCTAAATTATATGTCGAACCTTTATGCTCTACCCCTGAAACTAATACAAAATAATACTGTCAACTGTAATTGAAAAAAATGAAAATAAAGGAAGACTAAAGGATAACATTTCACATGCAAATAAACAAAATTCAAATTAAAATTTCCTCAGGACCTTTAAATCTGCCTCCTTCACTCTAATCCAGTGGTTCTCAACCTTCCTAATTCCGCGACCCTTTAATACAGTTCCTCATGTTGTGGTGACCCCCAATTTCACTGTTACAAATTGCACATAATTAAAGCATAGTGATTAATCACAAAAACAATATGTAATGATATATGTGTTTTCCGATGGTCTTAGGCGACCCCTGTGAAAGGGTCGTTCGACCCCCAAAGGGGTCGCAACCCACAGGTTGAGAACCGCTGCCAATTAATCATTTACTTAAGCACCTGGGATCTTGCAGTATAATTCATATTCAAAACTCTGGGCATTTCATTGCAAGAGGTTTTACAAGTCACAGAATTCTCCTTCCTCCATAATCCCACATGAGCAGTTTTAGCGCCATGTACGCGAGTGACACAGGCTCTTCCACTGCCTCGTAAGGATTACAGATTGCTCCCAGATGCTTTTCAGGCTATTTCAAGCCTTTCCTCGTTCGATGACTATTGAATTATGAAAGGGCATCTCTAATTCATGAGAAATGCTTCTCCCATCTTACTGTTCATTATCATTTATCCTCCCTTTACACACTACATTTTTAAGCACCCCCACACGTAGGCTTTTACTTAGGTAATAAGGCCTCACTGTGTATCGCTAAGAGCTTTACTGGGAACCCCTCTTATATTTTATCATCATGATTCCGCCAGTAGCAACTTCAAAGGAAGCCGTGTCCTTTGACAGTAATGCACAGAATGACATCGAAAGCAAGGTTAAACGGAACTCAAGTAAATGAAAAGGACTCTAAAAATTCACTAGGTCTTGATAATTCACTTGGTTGTCATCTCATTTAAAAACAAAATATGTCTCCTGTTAAAAAGAAGAAAGTTGGCAGCTAGCAATTCAGTCACACTCAAATCTGTCCCCAGGCAAGTGCTTTCCTTCTAACACAACATTCTACCTCCACATAATCAAATCCTATCCATGCTAACAATCCTTCCATGTAATAACTATGTCACATCCCTAATTTCAACAGAGGAACAAAATTGAAAGCTCATTTACAGATGGCATGAATTCACTGAATTTAGACCTCTACTGTGCTGAGTTCAGAAATCAGCTAATAAGCAGGGAGTGTGCAAAAGGCACCAAATGAACAAAGGGGTGGGGAGGGAGGGGTGATGATAATTAATATTCACATCATGGATTTCTCCCTATATCAGTAAAACAAATGTAGGAGGTGTGCATTTATCCATAGCGCTGCATTAATTGACCTGTGCTTTCCTATAGGGTAATTAACAAATCAATCAATGAAGGCATAAGTCTCAAACAACTCATCGAGAGTTTTCAAATACATGGAGTTGACGATGAGCTGATTATTGAATAATTTCATTCTCCAAAAGAGCTGAACTGAGACACAAGGTTATAGTCACATGTGGAAACTTGCAGAGTAGAACAAAATATTCTACGTAGGCCCACAATCATCACTGACTTGATTAAGTATATTAATAGTAACTCTGCCTATTAAAATGGATGAATCTAAATCCATCCCTGAATTTTACAAATGACAAAACTGAAGCAGAGGGAGACTAAGTGGCCTGTTCAAAATGAAGTACTAGCTGGTAAACGTTGAACACAAAGGTAGAATCCTTATTTTCCAACCCACCGTAATGCTCTTCTCTACAATAAGTTCACAATTTCTCAACTAGCTGCCCATTAAATTGATTTCATTCCTCCTTCCAAACAGCAAAGCTTTTAAAAGCTTTGGAAAAGTTGAATCAAATGAACCTTCAATCTTCAATTTCCATTCAATCCACCCCTGAAATTTTTACATTAATCATATATAATTCTCTGTTTACCCAAGAAACCCAATGCAATAGAGATGACTTTGGGAGAGTCTCAACCACCAAACAAATTAGTAAATTGCAGCATATCAGAGGAGGAAAAGCAGAGAGAGAGAGGGAGAGAGGGAGAAAGGGAGTAAGAGAGAGAGGAGGAGGGACTGACTACAGGCATCTGAAAAATAAACCAAGAATACTGATTTATTAAAATGAATAATGAAGGCGAACAAAACCAAAATTCAAGTACTAAAGTGATGTTTTCCAACATGAAAACTACTTGTGAGATGTTTCTTAAAGAAAAAAAAAAGTAGTAATTGTTTAAGGTTCTATATTCAAATAAATTTGGAAAATGTTGCATTTTAAATATCCCTCTTGAATATGCACAAAGCACATAATGTGGATAAGGTCCTAGGAAGGCCTGCAGGAGGGAACCCTGCTTTGTGTAATCCAATGTGTCCATCACATTGGGCAGCCTTGGCTTGCAGAGCTTGCACAGACGTCCTCCAAGAAACACTTCCTACTCTATTGTGAGGTGCTTTTCTTAAATCTGTAATTGTGATCTTAGATTCTATCATAAGCCTTTTCTATAAAAATAATATCAAATATAAGTAGGAAAGAAATCATAAGAT